GAAAGAAAGAAAGAAAGAAAGGAGAGAAATATAAAATGGAAGTCATAAATTAGAACTCTTGATCAAAGTAACTTCAAAATGCACTGAAAATCTGCCGATGGTTAATTACTCATCATAATTAAGAATCTGTTTCATTACATACTTAGGCGATTTCAAGTCCCTGTGAATTATTTTCAACCCATGTAAGTAATGCATGCCATCTGCAATCTGAGTGGCCCAACGAACCAACAAGTTGGGTGTAATCTCACGACCATCACGTAATACTTCAAAAAGTTGACCATGAGGGCAATACTCCATTACTATACAATACACTGGAGGTTGGTTACACACACCCCTATATCAATAAAAAATAACATTATATTAATGAACTTTATAATCWGAGAACGTTGACAAAATACAGGTATTAATTGGGTACAGTACAATCATAAATCAAAATGGAAGGCCAGGAAAGACTCTCTCTCATTCTATACTCATATTGTAACAATTAAAGTTAATCAACACACCAATYTAATAYAWATGGGACCACTTTTACAAAGTTACGCAATCAAAAAGGATAATGAAAACCAAKCATTTTGAAAGACAAACTTAATGGTAATATAGCAAACAACAAAGTCTAGATATACTTGACAAGCAACTTAGATTTTATCAACATTACTGAAGAAATGAAACAACATGATTGGTAAAGTGGTCAATGTGATAATGATTGCTCATTGGCTACAATTTCAGTCTACGCTGTGAAATAATGGTCCCAGCACAAAATTTTATGCAGCTATGCATGTTATAATAAACTTATTATAAACTTATAATAACTTATTATAACATAGTTACAATATGACAAGTGCTCTGATTGGTTTATTAGTATGCATAAGCATGCACTCAAAAACTTGATGGTGCATGCAGACATTGATTAGCATGCTTCCATTGAGTTTTAGGTGCCCCTGATAGGTTGCTTAAGGTGACCTGGTTGACTACTTTTGAATGTTCGATTTGAGCCCTCAATGAGCGCACACTCAAAAACCGCTGAATAATCTTCATAATTTTATTGAAGAACCATACACATTTTAAACTTCAAGAGGGCGAAACCATCAAATTTTGCACTGGATTCTATACTTTTTATGAGTTCATTCGAAGAAAACTCCTAAAATCTAAGTTTTATCATTTTTTTTAGAAAAACTTGATTTTTCTAACACATGAAGAAATAGATTTTTGTAGGGATTTCTATTCGACTTTATGAGAGTATTTGAGAGGCGGAAAGGAAAATATGACAAATCAGTGTGTTTCTTTGTTGTTTTGTCAAAAAATATCCAYGTAATATTGTAGAATGATATGCTAGCCATCATTCATACRATCATAGAGTCTGCAAAGAACTATTATCTCATGAATCTTAATTTTTTTCTGATCACTTCCGGTGGCCCCAAAAATGCGCACTGCAAAACAAGGGAATTACCTTAAATATAAGTCAAACAGTAGGAAACCATTTTTGGCATGTGTCAAAGATATTGCTTTTTAAATTTACACTCTTTTTGTTTTTTGTTTTAAATTTCATTGGATGTAAGAAACAATATGTGATGAAATTGGACTTCTATATATATGATAGTAAACAAATGAAAGATGAAAGAGGAAATTTATTACAAGAAAGAAAAGAAAAGAATTTGAAAAGATAAATGCATACATGTATGTATRTGATATTTAAAGAACACATCACTGTTTCAACATCAGTGTGTGAAGGAATATTTCCTGCTAAGCCCAAACAATTCTATTATTTGCATAAAACACATCCATGAGTAATATGTTCAGAGGAATGACCTTAAAAGGCAACAATATTGCTAGCCTAGATTTGAGTCATCACAATTTCATCAAGAGACCGGACAACGTGTTCGTTTTGGAATTTTTGGCTACATTAAAGGAATTTTTAAGTGGATATACATATATAATTTTGCATGGTACAGTGTTATATYTCTCATGTTTATACATGAAATTACGCAGAGGATAAATAGGTTACCAAACGAAATTACACATGAATTGGATGAAATCCACCGCAGTCCCAAAGGCACAATCAAAAATACAATCACTRGAATTGACCTCCTAATGCGATGGTAAAATCAGCTTCAATCATAGAGCATTTGCTGTTCATTAGTAAAATCGTATAATTACTGTATAGTATCGACCATACTAGAATAACGTGTAGTACGAGTAAGATGTTAGTTAAATGACAAAAATATCGAGAATTTGTCACTGCGATAAAGCTGGCCTGACCATGCATTCAGAACATCAACCCGCGCGATCAATACACTTCAAGTAATGAATGAAAATCAAGTGCATGAAATAAKCTTAGAATAGAGAATAGTTAATTTCGGGTGATCTTGTGTTCTGTCGTTGAAACTTAAATGCGGCCACACGTTTGAGGCCACCGTGGACTTCAAAACACAAATTCGTCAACAACACAACAGTCACGAAGTTAAAACATCAGTCGAGGGCTTATCTAGAGAAGAAATAATTCCATAAGCCAGGTATTAGAAGGAAAATATATCCACCTACCTAAAACGAACAACATTTGGATGGTTTAGATCACGCAGATGCTTGATCTCTGTGTCCTTCTCATGTCGAACCTTTTTCACTGCGACTTGTTCGACGCCATATACCCCTAAGAAAACAGCTCCTTGAGCGCCTGAACCAAGCCACTGAAGCTCGCGAATATCTTCAAATGGAATAATCCAGTCGTCAACATTTTCGTTTTTGTGTGTTTTACCAATGAGCTTCCAAACTGGCCTAAGACATCCTAATAAACCCTGTACAATCCCACTAAGGGTAGATGGTGTATTTCGTTCACCGTTGCTGTCATCGCCATCCGTACCACGTTCTTTTTCCATTTCCTTTTCAGTACGATCGTTCTCAGCATCTTTCCTGTAAACTTTAGGGGAGAAGTTGTCTTTGCCTTCATTAGCCATGCCATTTTCGTGAGTATTCTGGCCATCTCCACTCATCACGAAACGTTTTATATTTTGGTTTTCCGAATAATATCTGGTCGATCCCCATCCGTTCAAAAATCTTCCAATGCCAAATACCACGTGGATAAATATCCTTTACAAATCATTTCTTTACTCGTTTGCTGATTCAAAAAAGTCCGCCAGCGATTTACAAACCATGATTAAATCCGACTAAAACATCAGCTTTCTTTTCTTCAAAACAACGAACTTTTAAAAAAATACATATTCTTCAAATACGGCCTCCGGTGTCATGTGACTTTGTAGCTCCTTTATTGACAGTGTTAACAGGAATGGACCAATCAGCGTGTGTTGAACAGGTGGTAAGAACAATAGGAGTACAGCTGATTGATTGAATGCCAAGACCAGCAAAAACCAGCGCTAAACAGCGTTATAATTGCCTGTTTATTGCACCTGATGAGTACTATTTTCTTTCTGGTAACCTGTTGTTGGCTTCTTGATCTTTATGCGGGTATGGTGATAATTTTTTTCAGTAATCGATTTTGGTCAATTAWTGCTAAATTTAGACCTTTCGACGTAAAGCCATTAGAAAACTGATATTTTTCATGATAGAACTTGTTTATTATTTTGACTTATTTTAATGTATGCACGTTTTTCATACCATCGAAGCCCAGAGGCAGGTAAAGCTATCAGCGTATCACAAATATTTGATTATATGTTGGCCTTGTTCTTTTGGTGAGGCTTTTCACGCACCTCCAAGCGTGAACTGAAAGCTTGCTGTTGGTGATTCGCATCAAGACACAATCTTGTGTTCCGCTAGCTCAGAACCCACACAAAATTCTTTAAATTTTCTCTTTTCTTTTCGCGATTTCAAAATAAGTGAATATACGCATTTAATAACTACTGACAATGTAACTGAGAATATTGAACAAAATACAAAACTGAATGTAAACAAGTCGCCCAAGAAGTGTGAAATTTTTAACCCCAAACTCGCACACACCGTAAACCATTAGTTTACTGAAGTTTACGACTCCGTCGAGAATCAGTCAAACTTTCCTACAATTCCCCCTCCAACAACCAGCAACCGGCAAAGTCATGTGCTACATGTAGGCGACAAATAAAGCCAGTTTCGTCCTTCATCATGAACGGCTTTGCTGAACCGGACCTTTAATCTTCGTCGCTAATCCCTTATATCGTGTAAACCATGTTTAATATTTGAGACTTGACTTTTAAGGTAATTCCCTTGTTTTGCACTGCGCATTTTTCTGCGCATGCAACTAAAAACATGGAACTAACAAAGTTTAGGCATTCTTCTTTCGGAAACTAAATAAGATACATGTCCAAAAACAATTTTCACTTTTCTCTCTTTTATGAGTAGAGAAATTGCGATATTTATCTAACTCGCCCCAGTCTCCAGTTGGAAAAGTGTCAGTTTTCGAACAGTTTTCGACTATTTTGAGATGTTTTATTCAAGTTAAATCAAAAACGAGAATGGTGACCCCCATTTTTATTTCAGATTTTTGATAAATGCGATGCTCGTCATTATATATCAAAATATGAAGGAAAGTTTATTGGATAGATTTTGAAATATTTTGATRAGAATAGTAGACATGTGCAATTTTTGGATGTTTGTAGAGGCGCACATACTTGCATTTTTCACTAATAGTTAAAGAATCATAGTCATCCGATGACTTTGATGTATTTAATAGGATATAGATTATCTAATAAACTTGGAGTTATACGGCGACCGGGGCTGAAGGCGCCAAAGAGCGCAAGGCCGGAGTCTGATTGCGAAGAGAACAGTTTTCTCGCGATAACGAAACATAGGAGCCAGAAGCACTGGAGTGAAAGAGCCCCTGGAACCCAGGGTACAAGATCCTAGGATAGGAGTGACATACGATGGGCATTCTTGCTTGTCTGTACAGATTGTTTCGATAAACACCCGGAAATCTCTTTAAAATCTCCTCTTCGTAAAAGCTCAACGTAAATGACTGTGAGAACAAAGCATTACACTTATGTTAGTTTCAAAGCTATCAGTTTCAAGATACCAGTTGAAAGCTTTCTCGCATATAAACTTACTGAGCCGCACTCACGTTACCCATTACTTCACGCAATCTCTTTCCGAGCCCTTATTTTTCTTACTACGCATGCTCGATGAAATAATTTATATTTCGTTGTGCATGCGCAGTAAGAAAAAAGGGCTCTGGGGACGCTTGTCTCTTCAAGATCATGTATGCCTGCCTAGTTGCTGTTAAAAAGTCTTAGAGTACTATAAACAAACAGACAAGATAATAATAACTATTATAAATATTTTTATTGTAAAATTAATAACTTTGGCAGATTAATATATTTGACAGTAACTAAACTATCAAGATTCCATGTGGACACTCTCGATATCCCCATCTTCGTTGTTCTCTATTTTTGCGCAGTTCTCGAAGAGAAGAGAAGAGTCTCTACTTGGCTGTAGACATACTTTTAAAGAGTTCACTCCCTGTATTAATGATCCAGGTAAAGTGTTGTTTTTTTCTTGTACGATTTTCCATTCATCTAAAACAGACATAACCCTATTGGGTTGCCATGGCGATACTTCAAGAAGCGAATACGCAGAAGCTAACTGCACAGCGTACGGTACTGCAAAAACAGAACAAATCTAATCTAAGCACCAAAGCATACCTGTGGCTTATTGTATGTTATATATTGACTTGGTTCAGTGAATCATAAATCCCATGTGTACTAGTAGGGCAATGCCTTCTTAGGCCCCGTCCACACGTATCCGCAAATTTTTGTATCCGCAAATCATTTTTTGCGGATACGAAAATGTTTGCGTCCACACGCAGCGTATTCGAATCGTTTTCGCCGTCCACACGTATCCGTTTTCGTAAAATTTGCGGATACGGACACAAAAATTTGCGGACACGTGTGGACGCAGCCCGTATCCGTAAAAAAAAAATTGCGGATACAAAAATTTGCGGATATGTGTGGACGGGGCCTTAACCACGACGAGTATTGTTTTGACTTGTTTTTATGCCTGGTTAACTAAAACTATTAGCCATGGTTTTTATGTGAAGGCACACCCAAGAAAGGAATATACATGTAGCCTTTATCACCCTAGCGATTCGAGAAAAATATGTCTTTCCCTATGGTATTCTTGTCTCGTAAGTGTCAAGTTGTAGTTACGTACTAAACATGAACACGATAGTTTTAATAATATTACATTTTTTCACATGCTATTTTTGGGAAGCCGTACTTCACGTGCCGTGACCCAAGGACAGCTAAACGTAACGAATGATTAATAACATTCCTTCATCGCACTGACCTGAACAATCCTGTGCTGTCTGTAGTAATCCAACAAGTAAAGGTATCACTTGAGGTATTGTCTGGTAATGCTGTATGGCGATTCTACAAGCCAGCCCTGTTAAAACAAAACAAAAAAGGGTCTTAAAGTATTGATTCTACATGAAGTAAAATAGTTGAATGGTGAACTATTTCTTCATTTACTATTACTAATACTACTTACTTCTCAATACTATTTACTATAACTAACTCAATCAACAACACTTGATCATTTTTTGTAATTATACGTTTCCAACCGATACTAACCTAGTAGTCTAATAGCTGCAACCACAGTTGGTTCCAAAACCTGATTTGTGTCAGTACTATTACTAGTATCAGCAGCATGGTTTGTAACTTGCATGACAGACGTAGACAGGGATGAATCATTTGAAGAATCTTTACTACCATCATTACAACTACCAACGTTAGAATCAGTACAACTGGTCTCAGGCTCTGTACTGGTGACCACCCAATATGCCAATATATCCCAAAGATATCCCCTGACAAGAACATTATTAAGCCACGTCCATCCTAACACGCAAGTCACCAGTTCGAGGGCTTTGACGACTTCGTAAAGACCAAAACCAAGAATTGGATTACCATCTAGAGAGAAAAAGAACATTAGTATTCAGCCATACTATCTTAGTGAGGCACCTAACTTCATATGTTTGGCAAAAGAAAATCAGTGCCGGCTCGTTTTCTCGGAGTATACGAAATAATCATTCGTACAACGTTGATCTCACTACAATCATGAAAATATCGATAAGAACATATTGAGCTTGCTGCTAAATGCGAAAACAGTTGTTGGCGACCCACCTAATTCGACTTTCAGTAGAGACATTTGATTTTGGCGACAAAAGGGACCCGATTTTTTATTATTATGAAAGAACTTTAAATGGGATTCCTTTGCTGTAGTTCTTTCCCTAACTAATTTTTTTCCTTATTTTTTGCCGGTTTGTATTTTCGCATAAGTAGTTGTAAAGCTAATAAATAAATAATAGATAAATAACAAGTTGCTGTACTTGACACGCGACGTATTGTTCCTTTTACAATGTCAACATTATCTGGTAAAATATACCTTGTATATGGTAATGAACAAAGGTGCGCATGAGAAGAAATCAACCCTCTACGTCAAAACAAATCAATTTCATTTATAGCGCAGCTCTTTCTAAATTCATCACCCAGTATTTATATCTCATTTTTCTTACCTTTATCCTGCATGAGCTGAGCAGATGTGGGATCCTTCATCAGCTTTACGAGTTCTCCAGCCAGTTGTTGTAACGATAGTACTCCAGATGGCACTTGTTTCCAAGCACATAACCAATCCAGAACATTCCCTAACAACACCCAGTCATTTGAACGAGCCCATGTGGTTAGAATCATTTGAATTGTACATGGAAGAGGTTGGTAGGATTGTCCAGCTACGCATACCACCCCTCTAGATATTGTCAATACAGAAGCAGCCAGTACAGGTGGCCATACAGCTGCTATTGATATCATCAAGTAGAGAACAGTACCGGGTCTGGAGTAGAGGGACCGAATGATATCATAACACAATACACGCATGTGTTGAAGGTTTGATTCTTTTCGGCAGAGAGCGCAGAGAAGTCGACTGTAAGAGAATAAAAGAATATTTAAAGTAAATCTGCTTTCTTCAGTAATAAGACAAGATACATAAAGACTTTCGCTGAATAGAAATTCATTCAGTTCATTAAATTTCCTACGGACGAATCTACTTGAAAAGCATACAGTAAAAACCCGCGTATAAGAACCTAAAATTTAAGAACCTGTTAGGCTAAAATTTCATTTTTAAGCACCCTTCACATAAGAACTATTTTAGGCTAAAATCCTATAACAGGCCCTTTTTTAAAAAAAGAGAAGAAAAAAAATAGAATCAATCTTTTCAAAAATATATTTATAACACAGTCTGTACACAATAATACTATAAAAACTATAACTGTACATGGTTATTATAACAGAATCAGATTAAAATCGTATACTGTAGTGCATTTGATTACCTAAGCCTCCAAGAATACTGTAATTGGACATTAAAGACCAGACTACAGTATTCAAAAATACTACTTTATTTCTTGAACAAAAGTTAAGAACCTAATTAAGAACCTAGTTAGTCTAATTTAGCACTAAATACCATTTATATAAGAACCTGTTTAGGCTAACTTGAAAAAACCTAGGTTCTTATACGCGGGTTTTTACTGTAGTAAAACAGTTCATTATCGCTAATCACCAACGCAACTAAAGCAGAGGCGTTATTATTGTAGATGAATGGTGTCGAACTGAAAGCAATAAAAAGACGCCTCTGGAAGCCGCTGTACTGTCCATGCATGACCCTGGAGTACAGCTCTAACCAGTTTGAATTAGTTAGGGTTGATTTTGAGATTATAATAGCATATCAGTTCTTGCATCCCTATATTTCAAATTTAAGAGCCACACAAATTCCACGCTTAAAAATGGGATATAATTCTATACCCATTCAGGCACTGGATTTTCGATTAGCTTCTTGTTCTTTCGAATTTCAAGGTTTCAGAAAACCCAAGAACTGCCTGTCAAACACCAAGACCAAGGGCGTAACCAGGGATCTTGCAGGGGAGGTGCACAGGCAATGATTTGCAGAACCAAAAAAAAAAAAAAAAAAATAGAAGGTAACCAAACAAAATAAAAAAATAATAAAGCAGAACAAAAAAAATGGGAAGTGGTCTTCATTTAATCAAAAAACATTTACATGCAATTTCAAAGCAAAAGGAGATATATTAGCGGACCTTAAGCTTTTATGTAGGGGGGGGGGGGACGTGCACCCTGTGCTTCGCCCCTGGTTACGGCCCTTAAGACTACCATGAGAGAACAACCAACTGATCATTGTCAACTCAGTATAAGAACTGAATGAGGAAAACTTACCAATTAGAGGCTACGCATCTCTTGTCTGGTTCTTCCGTAACTGTACAGGAATGAACTATACACCTGGATAATAACGATATGACTTTTGTGGACAGACCTTTCAAATGATCAACAGATTCAGAAAGTCTAGTAACCATCACGAAGACCCGTTCTTCAAAAACTGACAGAATTGGAGTCCAGTTATTCAAGTCAGGCAACCTGGACACTTGCTCTTGGTGTTGACGATCTCGATCATAATATTTCTGAATGATAATTGGCATCAAGTCTTCGTTGTGTTGGAACTTTACTAGGGCAGCAGCTAATGGTGTTCCATTTGACATGGTCTTGGGATTGGATAAACGAGAAACCACATCCTCTATTTTCACGTGTTCTCGAGTTAAAAACCTCATTACTTTATCTGCATACTGGATTTCAGATAAGAAGTATGGTCTAACAGATAGTTGAACATTGCCCTTCTTCTTTTGTTTCTTTAACGAAACTTTCTCTTCCTTATCATGGCCTTCAGCATCAGAAGCGTCTTGCCTGGGTGGCTCGAGTTTCAATGAGGGTTCTAAATCTTTGTTTTCTGTCGTAGCAGTAAGAGATGCCTGCGATACAGACGAAGTTGGTGAGATTTTAACACGAGCACTAGCAAGACTTCTCATATCAACTGTTGGTTTAGAAGCAGCATATCGTGAAGGTAACGATGTAAAGTGAGCCAGTGTACACTTCTCCTCCATATCTAATTCACGAGYTGGGCTCGATTCACGAGATGAACTTGGTGAAGATGGTAAGGGAGACAGTATTGGCATCTCTTCATCAAACACACTGAGACAGTCATTAATGACTATTGATAACGGTAGATTTGAGGGGACTGGAATGCTTGATTTCGTCTCACACGTATCAATCAAAATCGATTCTTTAATGGCCGTAAAATCATCTTGATGGCTCTCATCTTTTGGATTGTTCTTATTCATCAAATTAGAATCAGCAGCGTCATCACTGGTTAAAGCTTCAAACTCCATAATCGTTTTGCCGCTGTCATTTTCTAGGCCCAATGCGTCGTGATTATTTATATTAACATCCTCTATGGTCACAACACTAGTGTTTGTATCTACAACTGGATTGGTTTGACCTTCTTCAAGGACTTCCTCCGTACTTTCATCCATTATCGTGGCACTTTTATCCATTGATGCTTCATCACAACATTGTGAATCGGCTTCAACTTTGTTAAAACTGTTCATTGAATCACCATGATGGGGAACTGCTATGTTATCAACAGTCGTTTTGCAACTGCTTTTCTCCACTGCGACATTTTCCTCTTTATTTAGCAATTCACTTGATTCACCAAACGAATCAAGATGGCATTTCATTACATAGTCATCAGCAACACTTGATTTGGCATCATTTTTCGATACAATTATATCGTTTGAACGAATGCTATCACAATTTATTATACGTGCAGAAACGGTATCATTATCATTCCCACTTGTTTCTGCAGTAGATAGATTTGAATCACTTTGTTTCTTTGTACCCTCAAGTGTTCTTTCAATTCTTTCTGCCGGCGTACTGTTAACATGGGTGGGGGCTACCTCCTCTGGAAAAGCGACTCTTTTATGTCCTTTCCTTGTACCACAAAGCTCTATATTACTTCTTTTCGTTCCTTGCACGTTCTTATGTACGAGTTGTTCTTCTTTAATTCCCAATACTTTATCACCATCTATGGTTAACAAATTCGCCTTCTCACTTTCCTCATCATTTCCAGATGAAGTGCTTGGTTCTTCACGACATTTCGTGTTCATAGTCTTCTTGTGCGTTCGTATTTTACGTGAATTTTCTACAGTCACATTAAGAGCAATTTGTTCAGTATCTCCTTTAGGAAATGACCTTTTTGCATCACCAATAGTATCTAGATTTTTACCCATTATACCCTCGTTTTCGGAGAGTTTGTTGCCCACGCCACCCTCCATTTCACGTTCTTGTTGTTCTGGTAGAGTAGTATTCCCTAGCCTTTCTCCATATTTTTTCAAACTATCTTTTATAATCTTACTTTTATTTAGTAAAGTATCATCTCTATCATCGAACTCATTTAAGCTACATTTTCTGGGAACATCACTTCTTCCAATATCCTTTAATTTCCTGAGAGACAACTCGGAATCAGCCTCCAATTCATTTTCCATCAACTTGTTCGTGGCGTATTCAGTGTATTTCGTCGTGTTTTTGTCGTCAGTTAATAAAGGTGTATCGTTTTCTGTATGTTGTATATTCTGAGTAATAGGAGTATCCTTGGTATGATGTTCCTCGTCATCGTCTAACCCTGGTAGTACTCTGCTGGTGCGATCAGCAAATTCATCATCACCGTCTCTGAACTCAGGGGGAATGGCAAACACATCTTCAGCCTCTGAATAATCAAGATCAAAACTTTTAACATGCTTCTCAGAAAGCAATTCATCAATTGCAGTCTTTTTAACTGAGGTATGCCCTGTCTCATTTTCAGCACCACAAGTATTATCTATTATAGGACTGTCTTCCCATTGAGCCGATTCAGTTCTGACCTCGTTGGCAACGTTTGTGGTTGACATCTCATTTTTCTCTGAACATGTTAGTTTATCATTCCTTTTTATGTGATCATTTTCTTTTTCATTCACTACAGACAAAATATCCTTCAAGCCTTTGTTTAATCCTGATAAAGATGAGTTATTGTTTTTAATATCGACCTCTTCAATTGTCTCCTTATCAAAACTCACGCATGACGTTTTATCAATGGAGATTGTTCCGTCGCGGTTTTCATCGGTATCTACATTTTTAGTTGTTAAATCCCAAGTGCTTAACTTAGATGATACTTTACTTGTTGCCACACTTATTAACTCCTCTGAAGAAATAATTGCTGAATGTTTGGAAGACAAAGGACTTTCATATTCGGTATCACTGTCCTCTAGGGCACTTGCTTTTGTTACATGCCTTTCAGATTGCCTTTTTTCTGGAGTTCTCTGCCCTTTATTTAGATAATTGTCAGTTATACTCTCTTTATCGCTTTCTTTTGGAGTAATCTGTTTGTTTTTTTCGGAATTGTTATCATTCGTTGCATCAGAAAATGATTTGATTTCGTTCTCAACATCTTCATCCCCAGACTCCAAGCAACCAAGTTCTTGCTCATCCATGTTATTCAAGTTATCCGCTGTTCCAGCCTCCCCACTCGTAGCATCTTTGTTTTCCAGTTTCAATTCTAGCATCTCTCCAAGATCAACAAGAGATCCACCCTCTGAATCACTACTACTACCACTAGAATTATCATCACTAAACTCATTACTCGAATCTTTTGATTCAGTAGGGCTTGGTGGCACTGGTGACAGCGGATAAACAGCAAGTTTGGTCATTTCATCAAAGATTGACGTCAAAGGAGGTTTTTTCCCTGTAGGGCTGTTGCATTCTTTGGTTGAATCGGATAAAAGTTCAGTAAGTTTCTCTTCACACCGCTTCGCACTGAAAAATAAAACGATGTTTAGTTTCGTCATCAATCTAAATCTTTCTTATTTATACATGATAATTTGGTACTGTTGCAAGAGCAAAACAAGCAATTGCAACATTTATTAAATGATGGTAATTGAACTGAGTGGAGTGCAATTTGGACCAAAATCATACGAGTGATTACAAAATTGCACGACAGCGTAGCGGGAGTGCAATTTGCTAATCACAAGTATGATTTTGGTCCAAAATTGCACGACACGAAGTTCAGTTACCACTCAATCATATCCTTTTTGTAATCATACACAAGAAAAAGACACAATAAAGAGCGCAGAATAATCAAGTTAACGTAGAACAAGAAGTAAATCAATCAGGTTTTTCCTGGTATAAAATAAACGATTTATCAGCAAATCATKAAATATTCATAAATAATGCTAATCATTCTCTTCTCTGATTGGCTGAATATAAGAATTCTGTTCTGTGATTGGTTCTTTCAAAAAGATGCGATTAAGAGCTCAAAAGGATGCGATTAAGAGCTCCTAAGGATGCGATTTGGGAATTAATCACACTCCTTTGAACCAATCAGATTGCAGGATTTGGTAGTAATTACAAAAAGGATATGATTAAGGAGGTAATTTCGGTGGCTGTTCTTATCATAATAGGAATAGGAATAAAACTTAATAGGAATAATAGTCAATGAAATCAAACCAATGACTCACTTAAAATACAGTGCACTATTCAAGTTATCCAAAAGTGTAGTTTACTTTACTTTACACTACTCACCTTTGCTGTGGTCTTCTTACTCTATTGCACTCTTTTGGTGATACTTGTAAAAAACAAAAAAAGTAAAACATTATAACATGAATAGCCTGTGTACACCCGCTTCAAATATCACACCCTCCCCCACTCCCCCCACACCTGGGAAATAGCGTTTTAGTTATCAATGGGGTCCTGATTAGCAGATACCAATTGCCTTTTCCTCTCCCAACAACTTAAAACTTACATCTTCTTTTGGRATGGTTAAAAAATCTGTCGTTTCCATCTTTTTTGCCATATTTGACTTCCTCCTGGAAAAATAATTCAAAATTGCATGAATAAAATAAAACAAGCTGGCAAATTTCTATACATGTCCTAACAATGGAGATTATATTTTGAGCACTCCCCATTTTTGCATTCATTAATTATTATTCTGGAGCCAGCTTTGCATTTTATTGATAGATTGCCCAAGCGACAATGCCACAAGCATTATGTTTTTAATTTTCTGAAAACAATGTAAATCTTGACTGAGGAGGCTACAGTATGAAAAGGCCATCCCAGYGACAGATAAAGAATTATTTCAAGGGGGCAGGCTGTTATCTAGAATGGCATTACATAAGCATGTGCACGTTCTAACGAGACTTTATTGTAAGCTCCT